TTCTAGTAAATGAGTCCGATGGTGTACCGACGATCAAAACAGTGTTAAATTATTAATGGAGGAAGCTTGAAGCCAAAGTTACATTCCCTTGTTGTTAACATTTTTTTTTTTTTTTTTGTACTTTAAAAGGTATACGTTCACATATAGAGAGGGTTCAAATGGTCCAAAATCAGTTTGCAGATCAAATAAGTAACTTTTTATGACGAACAGATTTTTTCAATGTTTTGGATGTTATGACGGGACTTTTCTCGGTTTACCGATTTGTAATCATTACAATTGTAAAGTTAAAAGATTTAATTCTTTGTGCTGGGTCCCGGGAACAGTCGATGCCATTTTAGTTAATTGGTCAGGGGAAAATAACTGGATGGTTACGGAGTTTTTTAATTGTACCCCATTTGCCATCAGCACCGTTCTGGCAAATGTTGTTTAGTAATAGCAGTATACCCAAAATATACATTCTTGATATTTTGAGTTTACCACAAGACAAGATATTTTGGTACGATATTTGAGTAGATATTTTTTTTTTTTTGGATTTGACAAATTCAGCTAACCGATTATATTGTTCTCTTTAAATATTGACAGTTATGTTTAAGTGCCTGTTTATAATATAAGTTGTTGAATCATTTATATGAAATCATATTACAGCCAAAAACGTGCACAATTACTACCCTTACATTATCATTTAATAATGGATTATACATGGAGTAAGTTCGTTTATTTTTAAAAAACGATGACGAGATTTATTAAATTATAATTTTGTGTGGTACGCCAGCCGATTGGCAGTGGCAAGCGCCGATTGGCGAGAGTTATTTATTTAGAAGTTGAAGTGGTACGCCAGCCGATGGGCAGTGGCAAGCGCCGATTGGCGAGAGTTATTTATTTATAATTTTGTGTGGTACGCCAGCCGATTGGCAGTGGCAAGCGCCGATTGGCGAGAGTTATTTTTTATGATTTTGTGTGGTACGCCAGCCGATTGGCAGTGGCAAGCGCCGATTGGCGAGAGTTATTTAATTATTAATTTATGTGGTACACCAGCCGATGGGTAATGGCAAGCGCAGTTTGGCGAGAGTTATTTATTTATAATTTATGTGGTACGCCAGCAGATTGGCAATAGCAAGCGCAGTTTGGCGAGAGTTATTTATTTATAATTTTGTTTGGTACGCCAGCCGATGGGCAGTGGCAAGCGCAGTTTGGCGAGATTTATTTATTTATAATTTTGTGTGGTACGCCAGCCGATTGGCAGTGGCAAGCGCCAATTGGCGAGAGTTATTTATTTAGAAATTGAAGTGGTACGCCAGCCGATTGGCAGTGGCAAGCGCCGATTGGCGAGAGTTATTTATTTATAATATTGTGTGGTGCGCCAGCCGATTGGCTGTGACAAGCGCCGATTGGCGAGAGTTATTTATTTATAATTTGTGTGGTACGCCAGCCGATTGGCAGTGGCAAGCGCCGATTTGGCGAGAGTTTTTTATTTATAATTTTGTGTGGTACGCCAGCCGATTGGCGAGAGTTATTTATTTATAATTTGTGTGGTACGCCAGCCGATGGGCAGTGGCAAGCGCCGATTGGCGAGAGTTATTTTCTAATTATGTGGTACGTCAGTCGATAGGCAGTGACAAGCGCTGTTGTGCGAGATTTTCTTTTTTTTAAGATTTACGCTTTTATTGTTTCATAGGTTTTATTTTCTATTTCACTTGCTGCATTTAAGTGGTCATAAAAACGGTTTGACTGTGGTTGAATTTCCGCTGTGAAGGCAGATTGTAATATGTTTTATTACGAATAACGAATCGACTTGAAATAAGCGTGATGAACGGTTTTTCTTACATACGGACACTGTTTTCAATTATTTTTATGTTTTTCGTTTATATTTAGTTGTATTTTGACTGCTCATATTTTTTGAAATTTTGAAAATTTATTGGAATACATTTTATATAGATTTGATAGCTTCAGAGTTGTATAGTCATTTGGTAATTTACATGAATATGGAGTTGTCCCTGTCTGCCAGTGCTCCGAGAGTTGTTTTAAAGTCTCATGTTGTCAATACTAGCAAAAAGTATCAACGACCATTCAATACCTTGTGTCAAACTTAATTCTTTACCAGCTTTCAACACCGATTTTTCGCTGTATTTGATTTCAATCATTCAAAAATGTAATTTTTCTGTTGACGATGCCTATTATGGAATTAAATGGGCTCATGATTTAGCGGAATGTTCTATTAACCCTTGTCATTCAACTTTAACAAAGTCAGTTAGGGAGGCAGCTCACAGGATTCTTCCTGTTACACCGGAAATGTTAAATAATTTAGTTTCTATGTATAGCAGCGATGCAAATAATATGTTTAGATTAAGAAGTACATGTACATGTATTTGCTTGAATATACAGGCTTCTTGAGATATTCTGAATTAACTTGTTTTGAGACGTTCCGATATTACTTTGCATGGCGATCATAAGGAATTTTCATTGAAAAGAGTAAAACTGACATTTATAGAGATGGTATTGTTATATTGTTAAAATACAAAACAAAAAAAACAAAAACTTGAAAACATTTTTAGTATCATTGCTTAATTTATATCTTAATGTGCTCAAATTAACGATGATTCTAATGAGTTCATATTTCGTTCTCTCACTTACTGTAAATATAGACAGTATTATAAATAAATATATACAGACTACGAGATCAAGGGAGATAATTCTGGATAGTTTTCCTCAGTTGGATTAGATAAATCTCATTGTGGATTACATAGTTTAAGATCGCGGAGCGGTGGCGTAGTGACATTATGTTAAATATAATTTAAACAAACGATTATCAGTTACAAAGAATATGGGCGTATTAGAAATAAAATATGAAATACATATTATATTGATATTGATTAATATTAAATATACAACATTGAACAATTTTTCGGTATTATAAAGAGTTTCATTGCACCCGTTCTTTGTTTTTGAATTCGATATACGGCAATGCAGATAACAAATCCTAAATGTGAATTTATGTATTTGTTGTTCTTTCTTCCTTCGATTGCCTTTATTATGGGATAAATAATTTATTTACGTTTGAGCGTAGCGAATTAGGAAATAAATAAAACAATGAATTGGGACCGAAACTGGTGATCTTAAAAGTGGATAAGTGGGTGATCTTAATTGTGCTACCATTAACATAAAGAACAGGAAATTCCCTCCTTTTAAAAATTGGTCTTAATTCCAGGGTGGTCTTAATAAGGAATTCTAGTGTACTGTATTCTGCAATTTCAGATGAACGCAGTAAAATTGCCTTGAGAACGCAATGATAACCGTGACAGTGCCGTTAAGTCGCAGAAAGAGCGTTTTAGAAAAATAAAGCTCCTTAAAAGCGCTGTACACAAGCGGAATAAGCGCGGTAGAGAAATCGAACAATTTCCTTACAAAGGCCGTGGTTTACCATGACGTTCATTCGGCGATCCTTCAGCGCTTTCACGGCACTCTTGTTGCGTTGTAGGAGATGCTACGGTTTCGTAACTGCGATCCCACGGCGCTCTTATCACAACACCAAATGACGGGGTTTATTTTGAGCGTACTCAATATGCGCACCGTCGTTCGGCATTCTATGCAATGCCACTGCAATGCTGCGGCGATGTTTGCCATCTTACTGCGCTCACCTCGACGTTGTTTTTTCTTTGGACGCTATGAGAACGCCGAATCAATGGAAAAACTGTACTGTTATATATTAATAAAGTTTTCAAATGGTCATTGAAACTGTACTGAGTAAAATGGGTTAGTAAGAACAAGAAAAAAATCGAAACCATGCGGTAAACATGTATAGCATATCACCGTAAAAAAACTAATGCAGTAGAAGCTATTTTGCATATTTTGACTTTTTTGTAACTTACGTTGATTGTAACTACCGTATGTTTTGTGTAAATTACTTCCTCTGTTCACTTCACAATAATTTACTTTTAAATACATTTCACAATCATTATGCAAATAAGCATGGATTCAATACTATATTTTATGGCGGTCATTCAACACGTTTATACATGTGGCTGAAAATTTAAATTGTCTGACATTAGTCCATTTAGACATAATCACTCAATTTTCATTCAGTATGTAATAGTTTAAGTATATGAACGAGTCAGTTACGAGGATATAACACTGACTGGGGTGACATCGAGTGATGTTTCTGCTAAAAAATGGCGAGGCCGTAAGGCCGAGACGTTTTTTTTTAAAGAAACATTCCGAGATGTCGCCTGCATATGCAGTGTTATACCCCCGTTACTTACGAGTTTAACATATAATAACTGTTTTATAGCAATTTCATATTTTTGTAACAAAAAAAAGAAACAGCAAAAAAAATAATACTTAAAATAATTAAACTAATAAAACTGTGCACTTCTCGCTCGTGTACCCTTTCTCTTCTGTTTCAAATGGAATCCCCTGATGAAATGAACCAACACCAGCTAATGCTTTCGTCAGCTACCATACAGTTATAAACAATAAGGCAGTTGATTAAAGATGCTTACGCTGTCGCCAAAAAATAGCAGAATAAACAACATTTACAACCCTTGAAAATTTAGTGACGTCCAATGATAGAGATGGATTGTTAACTGTTAATTTGTGGAGAAAGTAATTATGATTCAAGATTTAAGGGATTTTTCAGTGGTAATAATTCATTCAGCGGATGTATCTTTTAATTTTATCAGTTGAAAAGAGAAAATAATTTATTTCATTGATTATCTTAGTTTGTTTATATTAATTTTATTGTTGTTGTTTTTTCTTAATTTCTTTGGCTGCTGATAATGTATGTACCCCTGTCCTATTTGATCTTATGTTAAAAACCTACATTGATATATACAAGGTGCAAAAAAAACTCAACTGTTATATATTAGTTGAATTTTTCCCCATATGAAGCAATGAAAAAACTGAACGGTTATATATCAATACAGTTTTTAAATGCTCATTGAAGTGTACTGAGTATAATGGGTTATGAAGAACAAAGAAAAGGTTCCAAACCATGCGATTATTACCTGATATTCATCCATTTCCAGCTTCTTTGAACAATTTAATATGCCGTATACTCAGAGTTACCTGTGACTAAAATAGTTTAACAGCAGTGAAAGAACACGACAGAAATATTTCGGTTTATTTTTTCCCCTTAATTTTATATTAAGCAGGACGGAAATTCAACAACTTTAAGTGACTTACACAAACACATAACAATTGACTCTACTTATATCCTCTTTTTTTTGTCCAATGATACAATGATATCCACATGATGTGATATCATCCTTATTCTATTTATATTAAAGTGTTTATTCTGATTCATATATCAGTCGCGACATGTATTGTTTAATTGTTTTAAGTAAGTAGGCCTGGAGCGTGTTTCCTGTTGTCACTTGAATATTTCAACTCATTTCTTATGTTTCTTGGAATACGATTGAGCGAGTGTTTTGTAAGGGGTTAAAGGTTAAAGGTTACGCAAACAAGTTTATCAGCGCCGTTGTTACATAAAAGATGAGTATAACGTCATTATTGCGGTGGAAAATTGTATTATTTTAGTGCAGTAATTGTCTTTGAATCGAGAAATATTCTTTAAAGGACAAGATACACAATATTAATTTTTAAGGAAATTTAAGGTATAAAAAATTGTTGGCTTCAAATCACTTGCCCCTCACCGCTGTTGGTTCGAATCCCGACAGGGACTTTGGATTCTTTCATGTGAGGAAGCTATCCAGCTAGCTTACGGAACGTCGGTGGTTCTACTCAGGTGCCCCTTCGTGCCTGAAATAATGCACGTAAGGGCACCTGAGGTCTTCCTCCTCCAGTAAAGCTGGAACGTCGCGTAATGACCTATACTGTGTCAATGTGACGTAAAACAAAAAACAACAAAAAAAACAACAACAAAGAATAAAAAATTGATACTTAGGCCACACAAAAAATCGGCAAAGCTATGTTAACAACACTGTGAGTGATATATTCTGAGTGATATAGGTTCACACGTTTGTGGTTATTTATGCTTCTTCCATCTGACCCTTTTCAACTTGGGTGCTTCCAGTATTCCTACTTGAATATTGTATAATTACCTGCTTTTTAAGTTTGTCTTTTGTCGTCTTATCTGTGATATGCAGGCTTTATATCAGTGGGCGTTGACGGTAACTTGCACTTTCCAGTACCGTCCATGAACAGGCTCAATCAAACCGAGCCTGCAACATTTTCAATTTTGCCGTGTTGGGCTTTCTATAGAGATTCTGTTTTTCTCTATTTTATAACCTCTGTCCCCCTTTCAAACTTCCATTAAATTTAGTTCCGCCCGTTGTTTTCTAGGATAGGGCTTACGATGTTTCTAAATTCAAAATTTCACCATTCACCATGTTTAAATGTTGAGTTCTGATAGAGCCGGTACTGGGGGCATGGACGGTGGCTTACACTTTTCAGTACCGTCCATGAACAGGCTCAATCAAACCGAACTCCAATATATCTTCAATTTTGTCCTTTTGTGAGTTTTTTTAGGGATTCCATTTTTTTTCTATTTTATCTTACGAAATCAAAACCAGGACTTCACTTATAAGCCTTATCTGTAACAACGATTTGTGTATATCTTAATATCACAACTAAAAATATTGACAAAATAAAATACACTTAACATCTTAACGTTAAGCAACAGTAATGTTTGAAACGGTAGCTTAGTAGGCGTTTGATAGAGAGAGGTAGCAGGTTCGATTCTTACGTTGTTTAACATTTTTTTTATATCCCGCGTCTGTATGTTCGTATAAGGATAATGTCGATGACGTAACTGATAAAATAAATAAATAATAAAAAGCAATTAGGTTTAAATAAACCATTCATTTATGTACACAATATAATTATTTTTAACAGATGTCTTACTTTCAATATAAAAATACAATTAACATACCTTCCAGGTCTAAGCTAGCACGTTTCTCCGAGGGTTATTTTCGTTGGTCACATTTGATTACTGATCAAACATTTTCTAAGAAACAAATCCATACTTTTGAACATTAAATCCATTTTAAAATTATTATCCTTGTTTTCAACACGTTTAAAAATATGAGTTAACTTAAATAATAACAACAACGGCTGGCTGTACAACTTACAGTTAACTATTTACATTTGGAGGTCTCACATAACTTTATTTTTTACAATTGAGGTATAGGAAAGTGGCCTGAAATTTCAAGCAAAGTGTCAAGCGTACCCATCCATCACATCACATCTACTCTAGTTCACAATACATGTAGCTAGATATGGGTACTTTATCCCTTTTTGTGGGTAGAATTGGTGACAAACAATGCACATGTCAGACTCTGGGATGTCACTAGTTCATAAGATTCTGACAGACCCTCGAGACCAGAAAAACCAGGAAAAGGCGACTATGATAAGTTATTTTTTACTTTTGATCTTATTTATTTCGGGAAAAAATTTTATATAGAAAATTTGGCTTGCCTTTTTCTGACTGTGGACATGTTCTTTTACAGCTTTTAAAACTTCAGTCTCTGTAATTGCTTTCACACAAACAACTTTTCAGCGTGTTTTTCTTGCTTTACCAGTTTTTTTTCATTTTTAAAGATCTGCCCCTCTATTTTCTAGGAATGTTTCAGCTGACAACGACTGTTCAGTGGTGCATTTCTTGTTCACAACCTGCATGTTGAGCAACAGCAGTCGAAGATGCAGTTGACTCTTGTGCAATGACATTGGGATTAAAAAGAATACCCCTGATTTGTTAAAAGCAATCTGGATATATGCAGGATTAATGGAAGACAAATTCATTTTGCAGGCAATTCTGCAATCATCATTTTTTTGTAAGCACCCTACTTCAAGACTCTCTTTAGTTTGACATACAGAGTTCCAAGCCGTTTCCAAAGGCCGAAAGCAGCTTATATCCAGTGGTTGTGAAATGTGGCTGTAAGGGTAAAACTAACAACAACTTTTCAGCGTGTTTTTCTTGCTTTACCAGTTTTTTATTTTTAGATAACTGCCCCCTCTATTTTCTAGGAATGTTTCTGCTGACAACGACTGTTCAGCGGTGATTTCTTCTTAGAGTTAGACCAATCAGTAGCACCAGGTGAAGCTCCATCAGGTAAATATTCTTTCACCCGATTTCCCGGAAATATGAAAAATGTAGGGATCTGTTGACCAAGACCAATTACACAACCAATTACGGCAACATTCTGGCTTTCCTGATGTCACTGTTTGACTTTGTAGTTCTTACCAGTCTTTGGTGGCTTGTGCTTAATAGATAAACCATTTTCGTCTATATTGAAGATGCAAATGGGTTTGTTGGATAGACCATACTTTAATAAGATTTTTTAAAGTTCCTGAAAGTACTTATCAATTACATTTTCTGTTACACACTTAGCTCTTGCAGCCTACAGATATTTTTACAATTTTGAGCTCTTGCCATCTGGACATGAAAGCATAAGACCAGTTTTATCCTAGGGAATGGACCTTGTCTGTGACACCAAGATGAAATGCATAATCAGAGACCTGGTTAATTGTCTCTTATCGGGAATAACCAACACCTACTTCACCAATAACAGTCAAATGTCGGACTAGAATCGCCTCCTGCTCTTGCAAGAACACTGACTTCGGACCTAATCGAATTATGTCAATGTCTACCGTGCGTTTGCCGCGGTCTCTAAGGGCTCTAGCAGGTACTGAATGTTTTCTAGCTGCTCTATCAATAAGCAGACTTTCTTCAACAACAGCCTTATATAATCCATTCACATCCTCGACATCATAGGACTTGTAGGGACCACTAACAGGAGGTACCCTCTGCAAAGAAAAAGTAAAACAGATATGTAAATTAATTTACTTACCAATACCGGCTTTTTGTGATATGGTACCATCATTCGTTTGGACAAAATATTTAACAATTTAAGACCACTTTTCATTAATAAAAGGAAAGTCATTGTATTCCTGTTTCAGATATTTACGTACAATGACCACTTTGTGTGACGAAGCATTGTCATGCAACAACCTGACACCGCGGAGACCAGATGCTGGTCGACGGTTTTTGAAATTCTTCTTCAGTTTATGAAGGACCGTGCCTTTGTAAAACTTGGCATTTACAGATTTACTTATTGTTACGGCAATTTGATTAGTAAATGACTTTTTGACGCTGATGGTGCGTTTTGCTATGCAATGTCTTTGACTTAATTTGATTGCCCATATTTTGTTATGTACCCTTCGCTTGGGCTCATGAAAGTGATCCCAGGTCTCATCTCCGGTGATGATATTTGCAAAAGATCGATTGTTTTATTTAGGGAACTGTTTCAACAATTGTTTTGATATTCTTACCTGAGCAAGCTTTAGCTCTTTTGTATAGATATGGGATATCCATCTGGCACTTATCCTTCTCATTTTTAATCACGTCTGAGAATCCTACAGAGATACTAACGTATTAAGCTATAAACATAGTTGTAAATTTTGCATCAATAGCAATCAAATCCTTTACTTTTTCAACCATTTTTGGCAAAGTTGCAGTTTTCAGACGGCGTGCATGAGGTGCATCTTTTACTGAATCCACACCACTTTTAAATGTCTTACACCACTGTGTGATTGATGAAAAAGAAAGTTCATTTTTCCAATAAACACGAGACATATTTCATTAAATATGTTTTTCTGCCTGGTTGTTGCTATAGGACCGTATTTGGTCAGTGAAAGGAGACCTTTTTCCAACCATTTTAGCAAATACGCTTAGATAGCGTTAATCGAGCTATTGTCAAAGCTAAATTAACTTGATTTACACATGTATTATATTATTATATATAATAATTTAGAGCTTACACAACCATCTATGCGATACATGTACATAGTTTGTGGTAAAACGTTGTAAAAAGCGAGATATTGGCCTAGTTGCATTCATATTTGAACACCCTCGTAAGTATAGAAATAATGTACTGTTTACTTAAATATCTTTCTATTTGATATATTGGAAAAAAACTTATCAATAACTCCCAGTATTTAATTACTATGTTAAGTTTCTTAGCGAAGATTAAACCAAAATACCGTATCCGTTCTGTGTATTCCTACTTTTGTGTTCGAGGTCCTTATCCGAAGACTGTTGGAAAAGGCCCAAAAATTGCGATTGGTTGGGAGAAGAGCCAAATTGCAAATTGTTTAAAATTGGGTTGAAGGATAACTGGTAAAAATCTCTGCATCTATATATAAGTTTTTTGCTTGTCTGTCGAACTTGAACTTCTATTTTTGGAAAAAAAACTTTGGCAGTGTTATTTTATGATGCAGATC